ACCAAAATCAGCAACTAGACCAGCACCACTCACCATATCGCCGAAGCTTGGTTGTGATATGTTGTGATCATAATGATTTATCAATCTTCTTGCAAAGGGTAGCAAAGCGCTTTCTGGATTTCTTGTAAAAAAAGAGTTGGGATACCACAAAAACCTGTTTTTTCTGTGCAAAAATACAATCCTTTGTTGAAACGGATCATGATCATGGTTCCCTTCTCCAGCGAGCCACACTCGCGGCTGTGGAAGCAGATTTTGGGCACTGGACGCTGGGGAGCTTCCAAAATGAGGGCACAACCATGGTTTGTTCATGAGTTTCACTAAAATACTAAACAAGACATGTTTAGCAGTTTGGCGCAATTACTGTGCGTGGGTCATGAAGTATATGGGTTTGTCGAAAAAAAAAACATGAAAAAAATCTAAAAACTGGAAACCCCCCGAAATCCAGGGTGTTTTAACCGTCATGTTCCTGTGAAAATGGGCCATCTGAATGCCCCATTTTCAGCCCCCATCGCGCACTTGTGAGACATGGGGCCATGGGGGATCACCTTTGGGGAGGCCCCATCAACCACTTTTTTCATGGCTGCGTCTGATAAAATGGAGATAAATGGAGTATACTTTCGCCCCAAGTTCTGGGTAACCACGGGGAACACCATACTCTCGACCAGGTCTCAACCATGAAGAAGTTGTTTGGACCCTAGTTCCAACCACAAACAACTGCCGTTGAAAGATCCCTGAAACCACGAGGAGCACCTCTGGTGAGAGGTCATACAAGTCTTCTCCCATCATCTGGCACACCACGGTGGCGAAGCTTCGAAAGGGACGAAGGCTCTCCATGTATGTTGCATACAAACGAATGAATATAAGCATATATACTACAAAGCGATATATGTATGATGTGCATATATATATACATTATAGTATATATCTATATATAGATATATATATATATATATGTCTATATATATATATATGTATGTATGTATGTATGTATGTATGTATGTCAGATTATGTGTATATATATATACAAATGTCATATACACACATAGATCACAAATTGCAGTATCTCATTGGTCATCAA